GGCAGATACCGTTACGGTACCGCACCGGGAACGAGCTGAGGGGCAGATAGAGGTGCCACCCCGGGTCACCGGGCTGAGGGGGCTGCGGGCCCAGGGAGCCACCGGCGTTGGCTGGAGCCGGGGCTTCCCGTGTACCCGCCGTTCTGACCCCACCGTTCTGCCCTTAGGTGATCTTCGGGCCGATGTTCTCCGGGAAGAGGTAGGTCCGGAGCGGGGGGCGCGGGGCAGGGCCGGGCCGGGGGGCACGGGAAGGGCCGGGGCTCGCTGACACCGTCTCTTGCAGCACGGAGCTCATGCGGCGGGTACGCCGATTCCAGCTCGCCCAGTACCGGTGCCTGCTGGTGAAGTACGCCAAGGACACGCGCTACAGCTCCTCCGGAGTGTCCACACACGACAAGTGAGTTCCGGGAGCAGGAGGACACCCCGCTTCCCGGGGCTGCCTGGCCTGTCCGCCTCACACCCTTCCTGCACACAGGAGCACCATGGAGGCTGTACCTGCCGGGCTTCTCCAGGACATTTACCAGGAGGCACTGAGCGCGGCCGTCATTGGCATCGATGAGGGCCAGTTCGTAAGTGCATGGCTGGGGGGAATTTGCTGGGCTCTGTGGGACACGTGCTGCTCGGTACAGCCTGTGCAGACCAAGGTCTGAGTCCTGGTAGGAGTGGGTGGGAAGAAATGCCCTGGGGCAGTTTGGTACAACTGCTCTGTGCCTGTAGTCAAACCGTCCCTCCCTGTAGTCCCTGCAGACAGAGGGTGGCAGGACTGGAGCCCATTTACCAGACCGGGCACATGGCTCTGATAGTCCTTGCTCCTGGTGCTGCTGCTGGGCATGTGCTGTGGGATCTGGAGCCAAGTGCTGCCTCCCATCCCTCTTTACGCTGTGCCTGTACTCCATTCCAGTTCCCAGACATTGTGGAATTCTGTGAGAAAATGGCCAACAGTGGAAAAACTGTCATTGTTGCTGCTCTGGACGGGACTTTCCAGAGAAAGGTAAAAAGAGTTACTCATTTTGGTACAGTAGCTGCTTTGGGACCCTCATGGAACCCACCCAGCAGCATCTTCCCTTCTTGCACAGGCCTTTGGGAGCATCCTGAACCTGGTGCCGCTGGCAGAGAGCGTGGTGAAGCTGAACGCTGTGTGCATGGAGTGCTTCCGGGAGGCCTCCTACACCAAGAGGCTGGGAGCAGAGCGGGAGGTGAGTTCCCTTGGAACAAAAACTGCTTCACCTTGCCAGTCCTGCTGCTCCAGAGAGGTTCCCTCAGGGAGCTGGGCTCTGTAGTCACTCTCTGAATTTCTCTGCTAGGTTGAAGTGATTGGAGGAGCCGACAAGTACCACTCAGTGTGCCGAGCCTGCTATTTCTGCAAGCGATCGCAGCAGCCCAAGGCAGAGAACAAGGAGAACATGCCYCTGGGCCTGAGGCAGCTGGAGACAGCTACCCCTCGGAAGATCTTCACYTGACTGCTGGGAAAATGGAGAAGGGAGCTCAGTGCTCTGGCTCACGGGCACCAGGTCTGCTTCTCTGTACATTTAACAAACTGATGAGTGCCTCAGCTCTCCCTACACAACGTCCGCTGCTCCTGCACTGAGCGTCACAACTGAGGACCCACCAGGCCTGGTGCTGGGCAAAGCTGAAGTAGAAYTTGGCTAGAGCGAGTTCCCTTCTCAGAACACAGAGACAAGCAGTTACTGATGCTGCCACAACACAGGCCCTGGGGCACTGCACGTCAAGCCAGTACAAACAGTAGTTCTGCTGTTCACCAGCTCTGACCAGCTCCCCCTGTCCTCATCTCTGTGCGTGCTCAGGCTGCCACTGGTGCTGGTTCTGGTGCTTGTGAATGCAGCCCTTCTCTCTCATGCATTGTTGCTAAATTCCAGGTTTCTCAAGACACTGTACAGCTATTAGTATTTTAAATGCTGTTTTTAGCTTCCTTTGAGGTRACTTGTCCCTTCTCACAGAGCTGTAGGACAGCTTTTAAACTGACACAGACTCATCAGCAGCTGATTCTTCGGAGGTGCTTAATTTCTAAGGACTGGTTGTGTTCTAGCAGGCTGTGACAGAGTCCTTTGGAAGAACTGGTCCAAGGAAGAGCCTCCTCCAAATTCAGGGCAGTTTTTCTCAGGTTCAAGGCTGGTGCTGCCACTTTGGTGCTGTGTTACGTATGAGGGGTTTGGAGGGTCAGTGTGTTTCATCTACCAAAATTTGGACAATYATTCCAGTGAAGATCCAGCTACTCTGAGGAGCTGGTTCTCCACTCTAGTCACGTCTCTTGCTCCCTCCTCAGCCTTCCAGAATTCTCAAGGCTGACTTACTTTGCTCTAAGCAAACTGAAGGATCCTCTTCCCTCTTGTTTGGCTCAACTTCTGGAAGACTGTTGCTTCCTTACTCCCTGCAAAAGTGTTTTTTCCTGGAAGCCAGCATCCACAGGCTCTGAGCAGTAGCTCTTTATTCTGGCCAGACCAGACCTCTGTATCTGAGTTTAGGCTTGGCTGTTTGCCTGGAAGGCTCCAAGAGCTGTCTGAACCCCCACTGTTGCCCCTGTGTTATAAGAGAGAATTACTGTACTAACAAGTACTCCAGAACCAGGCCCAGCTTTTCCCCCAGGGCTGGGGAAGGTACTGCTGCTGCTGCTTTAAATTAAAAGAATAACAAACCTGGGTWTGTGTGTTTTCTGCTACCGCGTTCTGCTGCGTCCCACTGACAGTGACCAAGGAGACAGCACAGGCTGGTCACTGCAGTGGTCACAGGATGGCAGGGCCTGGTGTTGGAGCTCTACTCAAACTAAGGAGCATAAGGAGGATGGCCTAAAAATAGCCAGCAGCATGAGTGTGCTGTTTGCAGTTGGCAGGGGCTGCACTGCCCTGCCTGGCACCTCCAGCCCGCCTGGGGRAGAGGGCAGCAGCCTTTGCTGCTTCTCCAGACAAAAAGCACGTGGTGGCTCACATGGTGGCTTGGTGAAAAAGTTTATTCCAACCCAACAGTAACAACTACTTGAACACTGGCCCCAGCCATGACAGCCCMCATGACCACCAGGAACAGCTTTACCACAGCACAGCAGCAAACACAACCTGAGACAACGGCCCCACAGGCGCCTGGCGTGGCTGGAGTGCAGGCAGGAGCCACAGGCAGCGTGCAGGAGCACAGCCTCGCACAGGCAGCACYCATGGGGAGGCACACAAGGGAACGGAAAGTGTTCCAGGAGTTTCTTCAGCTGGAGCAGCCATGGCCCTGCTGAGGGATCTCAGTGCTCACGGTTCCCAGAGATCCCAAACCGCATCACCAGCAGCTCTAGTGCAGGCTGGGGGAAGGCACAGCWTGGTGTTAGAGGCAAGAGAAGGGGGCTTTGGCAATAGCTCACCCAGAAGCAGCTGACAGGAAGGCACAGAAGCCAGGGCAGGCAGGAGGTAGGCCCAGCTGTGCTACAGCAGYGGGAGATGGCACTGGGGGGATGCAGCCACCAGGACGGAGAAGCACTGGAGATAGGATGGGCCGGGGGAACAGTCACAGGGGCAGAGCCTGGCTGGGGGTCAGGGAGTGTGAACCACAGCCCCCCCAAGGCACACAGCGAGAGCACAGGCTGATCCATGCCAGGGCTGTCRGTGCACCCAGCAGCTGCAAATCTCCGTGTGCCACATCACCCACCACGCACTGAGCTCTGGAACCTCCACTGAGGAGCTCGGCTCCAGCACCAGGCCCCTCCTGCACCCCGTGAAGAGACCCAGTCACCTCCACACAAAGCAGCCGTCACCCTCCCATCCCACCATCCCCTCCAAGTTGCACATCCCTCCCTTCACCCCACAGAAGGAAYTGCACTGGTGCAGCTGTCCCGCAGGCGCATCCGGGACTCAGTACACCGGCGGTGGTTGATACCCCTCCGGGGGCTCTGCCGTCTGGGTGAAGGGCGGCTGCTGGTAGCTCTCATGGCTGATGTTTGGATAGCTGGAGTAGGGAGTTGACACCTCCGGGCTGGGGTCCACATAGCTTTGAGCAAAGTCCTCCACCCCCATTTTGTACCTCTTGTAAGCAAAGGTGAGCAGGAGTCCCTGCAGAGAGGAGGAAGCAACATCATCAGGGCCAGTCCAGGCTGTACAGTGCAGGGGTCCCTCTGCACTCCCCCAGAGTGGGGCACGGTGGTTTACTTACCCAGGAGAAGATGGAGAAGAAGCTGAAGGTTATGGCAGCGCGGGCAGAATCCGCCCCGATGGACACATCCTCAGCCCGTGTCCAGGACCACTGATTGGTCAARAAACAGAAGCCGATGAACCAYAGAAAGGTCCAGAGACCTGTGGGGRARAGTGGCATGAGGGGCCAGGGCTGGTGCTGCTGCTCYGGGCAGGTKCCTGGGCCGRGCCCCGCTCCAYTGTGGGGTCTGGGGCAGGCACCCGGCCAGGAGCAGCCCCTGCTCGGGCACGGAGCAGCAGCAGCAGCGCATGGCCCGCGGGCAGAACGCCAGACGGGAGGGACTGCCTTGGCCAGGCACCGCAGCCACGTCACGGGACAAGGCAGCCATTGTGGCACCGACACAGGGCACAGCCCTGCCCCGCGGTCTGGTACCTGAGAAACCGAGGTCGGCCAGGACCAGGTACTTGCGGTCAGTGGTGTTGCTGATCTGCGGGAAATAGACGTCCACCATGAAGAAGAAGATGCAGGCGAGGAAGGCGAGGACGCCGATGCCGATGCCGTAGCGACAGGCGTCCTCGTTGTGGTTGAAGACGCAGAAGAGGTGCGGGTCCTCGGCCACGCTCGTGTAGCCATCCCCGACCAGGCAGGCGAACACGATCAGGGCGAAGACCTGCGGGGCGGAGCCGGTGTCCGGTGTCCGGTGTCCGGTGTCCGGTGGGCGGCACCGACACGCGGGGCGCCCTTCGGGGGCTGCTTTGGCCGGAGGGCGAGGGACACGGGCTCGGGGCGGGGGAACGGCGGCCGGCGGGGCTGTCCCGGCCCGGCACGGCACTCCCGACTCACCGCGCTGACGATCCGTGCCAGCACCTGCGGCTGCTGCACGAAGCGAAGCAGATCGAAGGCACCGCCGGCCTTGGCCGCCCCGTAGGCGCCTCCGCCASCCTCCATCGCGCTCCACCGCCGCTCCTGCGCGGCACCGCCCCGGGAGGGAGGGCCGGCCCGGGCGCTCCGGCAGCCCCGGGCGGGGCGGGGCGAGCTTGGTCCGGCGGGACCGGGGCTCCCCCGCCCGGGCACAGAGCGCCGCGCTGGGGCCGCATCTCATCCCCATACCCCGCTCCGTCCCTCCTTCTGCCCCGGTGCAACGGGAGACGCGGAGCGCCAGCTCCTCCCYGGCCCCCGACGGGACCCAGTAAGAGCGGTCTGGGGAACGGGAGCTTTTGGGCAGTACAGGGTTCGGTAGTCCCCGTCCTCCCCGCGGATCCGCACCCGGACRGGAGGCAGCGGCAGCTCCCGGGAGSGTCCCGTCGCTTCCCGGTATCGGCYKCCTCAAGCAGCCTTAGCCCGGCCCGGGGATGCTGCGGAGCCCGAGGGCGGTGGAGCAGGGAGAGCAGGGGAGGACACAGACGGCACTGCGTGGAGGAACCCCGGGGCACGGGGTCTCTGCTCCGATGTGTCCTCCTCGGGCCAGTCCCGGCCCTTGACTGGGATGGTGCTCGGAAGGTCCGTCCCTCCCCAAGACTCCCGGGACGCGGGCGGAACCCGCTCGACGGCGGTACCGCCCCATCCGCCCGCTCTTCCTTCCTAACGCCGGCTTGGGCTGGCCCCGGGGTTAGTCCCGGTTTAACCCCGCAGATTCTGCGGTCCCGCATGCTCCCGACTCGCACCCAGCGCCCTCGGCTCCGTCCCCCGTCCCGGCAGCGCGGAAAGCGGGGAAGGGGCGGTGAGCGGGGCCGGTGGGAGCGGGGCCGGTGGGGAACGGGGCCGGTGGGGAGCGGGGCCGGTGGGGAGCGGGGCCGGTGACGCCTCTGCTCGCCACGGCAGGGCCCGTGTAGGAAGGACCCGCAGGATGTCCCAGCCGCCCTCCATCACCCTGCACGTCCTCGAGAGCCCTGAGAGCGATGGGTGAGTGTGACCYACCCCACTGCCCTGTCGTGTCCTGGGTCCTGCATCCCAGAGGCACGCAGCTATGATCCACTGCCCTGCAGGCACCGGGTGCCACCATTCCCCTTTACACCTGCAGCCAGGAGCCCAGTCCAGACAATGAGAGAGCCCTGCACACCTCCTTCCACCAGCTCATCCTGGAGCAGAGCAGCTTGCTCGAGGCAGGTCTGGAGATGGAGTTGCGGGAGAGGGACAGAGGTAAAGTGCTGCAGCCACAGCCAGGGCAGGCCAGGGACAGCGTGTGTGCCCAGGGCCATCCCCCAGCCCTGACCCTGTTTGGGCCAGCTGGGCCATATGTCAGTGCTGTGGTCAAAGCATTCTTAGGAGCCTACTGATACCTTGACCAGGGCAGTCCAGGGCAGTCCAGGGCCAACTGGATCTTGGAAACACAGAAAGTGTCCCTGGAGAAGGGGGTGCTCTGGGAAGAGCACACACCAGGGAACACACCTGGCCTCTGCACTGAAGCACAGCAGCAGGGACACAGGGATGAGCCATAGGTGCTCTGTATCCTMCTTTTTCTTCCCAGAGTCCCCAGCCCGCTTGGCTATTCCAGATGCCAGYGCTATGGGCTGGCGAGAGCCTGGGCAGGGTGAGGAGCACCCCAGCTACTCCTCTGCCTCCCTGCAGATCTTGGCCAGCATGCCCAGCCGCACCATCGGTAGGTGCCCTTAACTTTCCTGCCCTTACCCAGGTCCCAGAGCCCCTTGGAGAGCTCTCAGGCCTGTCCTGCTCATCCATGGCCACCCAGGCAGTGCTCTGCTTTGSTCCACAGGACGCAGCCTTGGGGCCATCATCTCCCAGTACTGCAACCGCATGGCGCAGCTGCGGCGCCGGAGCAGCCGCCCACCCCTGCAGCAGCTTTACCGCACAGCACGGCCCAGCCTGCGCCACTACGACCTGGAGAGTGACCCCAGCAGGGCCACGCTGGAAGGTGAGGGTCCCCAGAGTGTCAGAAGGGAGTGCTGGCCACTGTCCCTCTGCTGGCTTTGGGACAGGCATGCTGTGACTTGGCAGCTGTGTCCCACTGAGCCCCTTGTGCCCCAGACAAGCGGAGCCTGCTGGTGAAGGAGCTGCTGAGTGTCTCACCCAACCAGTGCAGCCACATGCTGCTCACCATGCCCCTCAGCCTGGCAGAGAAACGCATCCTTCGGTAGGTCAGCCTCAGCCCGGCAGGGCTCCCATAGGCAGAGCCATCCCAGGACCTGGGGTACCCTCTGACACCCCTCTCTGCTGGCAGGCGGCGGCTGAACGGGCAGAGGGGGCCCCTGAGGCAGCACACCCATTCCTGGGCCCCCTTCTCCTCCTGTGCTTGGTCCAARGTCTGCGTCATCCTCGTAAGTCAGGGCACAGGTCTGCACAGAGGCTGTGAGGGCTCCAGTGCAGGCTCCAGCCCCAATGCTGTCCCCATTTTTCTCTCCCCAGGGCTGCCGAGGTCTCTGGTACAGGCTCCTCTCCCTGCTCCGCACTGCRCAGCCCTGGCACTATGCCCTCAAGCAGATTGGGGGTCGCTTTGGCTCCAGTGTGCTCTCCTACTTCCTCTTCCTCAAGACACTCCTTATGTTCAACTTCTTTTCATTCCTCATTCTCCTGGTCTTTGTGGTGGTCCTGCAGGCTGTGTACCCCCCTGCATCAGTCAGCCCCCAGCCCTTCACTGGCCTCGAGCTCCTCACAGGAGCGGTAAGCACGGCCCAGGCACCCCCAGGTCAGAGGCTGCCCCAAGCCTGGGGCCAGCCCCACATTTCCACTGCAGTAATACCCCAGTTTTTGTCCTTGCAAGGCTGGGCCCCACAGAGCTGTGGGGGTGCTGCCACAGCCCAAGGCTCTGTGTCCCTGAGGCTGGCACAGAGGTGTCAGGCTGAGCAGGGAGCTCAGGCACTGCCAAGGTCACTGTGGACCCCATTGTGCTTTTTTGCAGGGCTACTTCACACACTCGCTGTTGTACTACGGCTACTACAGCAACGTCACCTTGAATGACCCCTGCTCCTCCAGTCCCGAGGGCAGCACGTGCCCCCTTGCAGCCCCCCTGCTCCCGTACAACATGCCACTGGCCTACCTGTTCAGCGTTGGGGTGTCATTCCTYGTCACCTGCATCCTGCTGGTGTACAGGTGGGTCAGCAGCCCCTGTGGCACTGCCAGCCTTCCTCCACCCAGCCCCMGGCTCTAACGCCCTTCTCCTCACTGCAGTGTGTCCCGCTCCTTTCGGGAGAGTGTGGGGAGCTCCCCGGAGGACTTGGCCATCAAAGTCTTCTGTGCCTGGGACTTCAAGGTGACCCAGAGACGCTCAGTGAAGCTGCGGTGTGAGAACATCTGCACCCAGCTGAAGGTGAGGAGCTGGGCGATGCAAAACACCCCAGAGCCCAACCTTGCACCTTTGTCCATCACCCCGTGGCTCCTGCTGCAGTGCAGTGGGACCAAACCAAGGAGGTTTGGCAGCTCTGCCACTGTTCTCTTCAGGAGCTGCTGGTGGAGCAGCGCTCCCTGTCCCGCTCCCGGAGCTGCTGCCAGTGGCTGGGTCACTGCACGGTGACACTGCTGGCCTGGGCGCTGGCACTGGGCTCGGTGCTGGGCTGTGCCCTGGCTGTGCACTACATCTCCCAGCACATGCACGTGGTGAGTGCTGSATCCCCTGCCCTGGGCTTGGAGGGACAGGGCTGGGATGCTGAGGACAGMGGCAGGGACAGGATCTGCTCCTGTTTGCTGCTCTCCCCAGGTACACCATRCCCATCCCTGGCTGCTGACAGCTGTGCACTCACTCTGCTCCCTGCTCACAGGTTCAGCAGGAGCAGCGAGCACGGGCCAGTGGCAGATGGCAGCGAGAAGCCATTCTGCTGGTCCTGCCCCTTGTWGTGTCTCTCCTCAATGCACTGATGCCCCACCTGTACAACCTGCTGGCCATGTGGGAGAAGCAGGACTCCCCTGTGACCCGGGTCTACGTGGCAGTCTGCAGGTGGGCTGCCTGGGGCTGTGGGAGGGAGCATCCTGCACCYATGGCACGCAGGGACGCTTTGGGGACAGGCACCCCATTCGTGGGGCTCAGCCCCTCCCTTCCCGGGGCTCAGGGACTTGTGGCACTGCTCCTGCTCCCCAGGAACTTCATCCTGAAGACGACAGTTCTCAGCCTGCTGTGCTTCCAGTGGCTCAGCCGGAGTGTTACCTGCACAACAGAGGAGGTCAGCACCACTGCCCCAGGGCCACGCAGGGCTGGGTTACACAGTTCTGCGAGGAGCTGGTGGCTTCTTCCTTACTAGATATCGAGAATAAATTCTKCCCTGTGAGGGTGGTGAGGCTCTGGCACAAGTTCCCAGAGAAGCTGTGGGTGCCCTATCCCTGGACATGTTCATGGCCCAGTTGGACAGGACTCAGAGCAACCTGGTCYAGYRGAAGGGTGTCTCTGCCCATAGCAGGATGGGGAAAGRGATGAGTTTTAGGGTTCCTCCYAACCCAATCCATTCTGTGATTSTATGCCACYCTTGATTGTTTCCCCAGTGCTGGGAGACCTGTGTGGGGCAGGAGCTGTATCGCTTCATGGTGATGGATCTCATATTCACCTTGCTGGACACGCTCTTTGGGGAGCTGATCTGCAGGTAACATGTCCCAGTGTCACCCCACTGTGGCATCCCTGCATGGTGCCAGCTCTCCGGTGCTCTGCTGCCATTGAGGGGAATGTGAGGTGCGAGGGTCCCCCCAGGCAGTTTGGGAGCAGAGTTCCACTCCTCCCCAGGCTGATCCTGGAGAAAAGGCTGAAGACAAAGCCCAGGCCAGAGTTTGATATTGCCCGAAATGTGCTGGAGCTGATCTACGGGCAGACCCTGACCTGGTGAGCTGTTTCTGCCTGGCAAATACCTGGCAGTCGCCAGGAGCCTGTGGGTGCTGCAGCTGTGCCCAGCRCTGTCTCCCCTGCGGCTCAGACCCAGGCAAGCTCATCTTTCCCAGGCTGGGCATTCTCTTCGCTCCGCTCCTGCCAGCTGTGCAGATGTTGAAGYTGCTGCTGTTGTTCTATATCAAAAAGGTGTGATTTCCCCCCGCCCCTGTAACCCCCTGTCATGGGGTGACACTGCTCTGTCACTGTCAGTCTCTGTGCAGCAATGGGGCCCATGGAGCAGCCTCATCTGGTGGCACTGTCRGGGTTGTTGGGGACAGGGCGTCCCGAGCTCACTCAGCTGCCAGTGGTTGGGTGAGAGGGGACAGCAGGGTGGGGGCTGCTCTCCAGGAGTCAGCAGCCCATGGGACACTGCTCCCCGTCTGCAGAGCAGCCTGATGTGGAACTGCCAGGCCCCCAGCAAGCCCTGGCAAACATCACGCATGAGCACCGTATTCATCACCCTGCTGTGCTTCCCCTCCTTCGTGGGTGCAGCTGCCTTCCTCTCCTACACCATCTGGTCGTGAGTACCCACCAGGCCATGGCTCAGGGCACAGGGTCCCTGTCCTTGTCATTGCCCAGCTGCAGGATGTGAGGTGCTGCCCCAGGGAAGGGAGGTGTTCCCAGCTGCTGCCTGTGCCCGCCTCCTCCAGGCTGTTCCTGGTGCAGGACACAGGGATGAGGACTCTTGTSCAGCCCTGGCAATGCTGGGGACAGGCTGGGGCTCTGCAGTGCCTCAGGCTGGGGGTGGCAGTTTTTGGCTGCCCATTGCTCTGAATGCCCTCTTGGTCTGTTTGCTCAGGGTGCGGCCATCAGAAMTCTGTGGTCCCTTCCAGGGGCTGGAAACCATCTACAAATCAGGGAAGAGGTGGGTGCTAGTACTGGAACAGTCCAATCCAAACATCACTTGGTTTGCCTGGGTCTACCAGCACCTGTTGGAGAACACCTCCCTCCTGTTCTTCGCATCCRTGGCTGTGATGTGAGTATGGACCCAAGGCCAGGGCTGAACCTGAGCCCTCTCTTTGAGGGCTGGAACAGCTGTGAGTGGGACTGGGAGCCAAGGTCTCACTCCAGAACACTGTGACAGCAGCAGTGTCCCTCAGCTCTGCTGAGCTGCCACCATCCCGTCCTGCTGTCATTGCAGAGCTGTTATCTACTTCAACATCCAGATGGTGAGAGGCCTCCAGAGGGTCATCTGCCTGCTCCAGAAGCAGATTGCCAACGTGCGTGAGCTCTGCCCTGCCCATCCTGGCTGTGTCAGCACCGGGGTCTGCTCCAGCACCAGCGCTGCCAATTCAGATCTGGCCCCAGCAGTGCTGCCCCTCGCCCACACCACTGCTGCTCACTGCTCTCTCTGATGTTGCAGGAAGGGGAAGATAAGGGATTTCTCATTCAGAAGCTTCACTCCATTTACAAGCAGAGAGACAGMCATTCCTGAATCCCAGGTGAGGCCAGCTGAAGGGCGGTGAGAAGGGGCTGCCAGCGTACCCAGAGCTTGGCCRGGTTACACTGATGTTACTCTGTGTGTCCCAAGGGATGCACAATCCTTGGAGCTGCTGGGATGCTGCAGGTACAGGAGCAGGACTGCTGTCACACCCCAGGGCACAGCTCCATGCAGGACTGCCTCACCAGCACAGCCATTCTCTGTGGGACGTCACTGCTTGCAGAGAACATCTCTTCAACTCTCTGTCCCGCCAACACACCCTGGGCTGTTTTCAGAATCCTCTGGAGACCATGGAGCTTTCTCCACAACCCCCTTCCCACTGCCAAGGGGCAGCAAGCACAGAGCCAGGAGCTGTAACAGCCGTGACCCCGCTCCAGCCCAGTGCCTGGCTCAGCAGGACAGCAGCTAGCCAGTCCCAGTCCCAGTCCCAGTCCCAGTCCCAGAAACAAGGTCACTGGGCCACCCGTGGCAGCCCTGCAGTGCTGCTGGCTGGTGGGATGGACGTGCAAGAATCACCCTGGTAGATTGGACAGGGACTGTGCAGGCTCACGCTGACCTGGCTCATTAAAGCACTCCTGTGCAGGATTCTGTGGTGTCTGGACCTGTTGGGCTGGAAGCAGGTAGGTGGGGTTGGAGTGTCAGTGCTGCTGGTGACTCAGAAGCTCTGTCAGGGTGTGCCTGGGCTCCCTGGCACCACCTGCTTCCCCCTGGGGCTGCCTGGGGCAGGCCCAGTKCAGCTCACTGTGCTGGAGCAAAGGCCATTGCCACCCCACTCCCACTCRCCATTGCAATGCAGTATCTGCAGAGCTGAGCACCAAGAGCCACTCCCTCGGGCCACTGGAGCAGCTCCCAGCTGGCAGCTCCAGGCCCTGGGATGGCACAGTGTCACAGCACTGACAGGTCCAGGGTAGGATGTGTCACTGTGTGCTGGGCATGGGCACCCCCAGTGCCCTGGGACATGGCAGAGCTG